TCCGTTTGATTACAAAAGATGGAATCTGAATAGAAAAAAACAAATTTCAGGAAATTGAATTGCCTAGGAATTTTTTTATTGAGAATTGTCAATTATTGTATTTGATTTGTATAATTTTTCACGTGAAAAATGTTGAAATAAAAGTATTTTTTGATGTTCATTTGGCTTTATTTTACATAAAAATTGTCAATTAAAGGATATAATTTACTGATATTGGAGATAAAACTTGTTTGAATTGCAAAAAAAAAAAGCAAAGAAAATATCAATATTTTGGTGTTCGCTTTGCCTTGTTTTACACGAAAATTATTAATTAAAAGGAAATGTCTTTTTTACAATTAGCGATAGAATTTGTTTTCGTTGCCAAAAAAAAAAAAAAAAAAACAATGACAACCAAGAATATTCCAATTTTCAAGAAAAGCAAGAAAATCAAATTTCATGTAAAATTTTGCTATCAAATACCACAAAATGGGTGGAAAATGGAATTTTCCATGGAATTTGGCCCTATCAAACATGGACTTAGTCATTACTCATGGTTTATATTTGAAATGTTTAAAATGTTACACTAATAATTTGCATTACGAAAAAAACTAAATAAATGCATGAATATAAACTTTATAAATAGTTATAACAGTTACAAGGGATTGTCTCATCTATTAAAAAAAAAATGTAAAAAGAATAATTAAAATAATATCTCTCAAATGAATATTCTTAAATTCCCAATTAGAAACTGAAACTCGACTCGTACAAACCTCTCCTCCATTTTCGTCTGCAGACGCAGAAATATGCAGATGTAGGTAGAAAGATATTCCAGAGCGAGCGCAAGTGGCGTAGGGGACCAAACCCTACGTCAATCTGTAGGGCCCACAAGAAAGGCATCTAGGAAAGTGGGGCCCACCTAATCAGCAGCAAAAAACAACGCTTTTCAGCCGCCGGTGGCACTGCCACCATCTGCGGCGTTGCTGCTCTGGCGGTGGCAGTCGCAGAATAAATGTAAAGAGCGGTACACATTACATCCCTACACCTTTAGCTATAGGTTTTATGCATAGGTACAAAAGTGGGATCCAACGGTCGATTCAGCTGGTCTGTCTTGTGGGCCCAGAATTTGTTCCATAACAGTAACGACACGTGGAAAATTTACGGAAGTTGTTGTCATTGTTTGCAGTTGAGTAATGACCGACTGGGTTGTTGCATTTCTATGTTCTATATGCTGTCGGCTTTTGATTTAAGACCCTTAATTTCATATTAATTCATTTTTAAAATTTCAATTTTACTCCACGAATATAAAAATCTAGTAATATTTTGTCATTTAAAACTTTAGAATACTCATTTTTTATTTGAATAATATTGCTTGTACATAATGGAATTAAATAATAATTTACATATAGATATTGTATCAAAAAGAGAGTAGAGATTTTTTATTTTATTTTTTTAAAAATTTGGTTAAAAAAATTCTGACAAAATCATATCTTTTAATATCATGTGTAAATTGTTATCTACATATAACACAAACGTTTTTATTTTCTTGTTGTCTAGCACGGTCTTTAAAAATAAGCAAATGTAACCTCCTAGTTTGATGGTGTTATAACTTTCTAATTTTTCCGAGCTTTCATTAATTCTTATAATTGGTCACGAGTTTTTAACATCACTATGATCACTCGGTTAAAATTTTAAAGCTTAATATCAATAAAAATTTATTTGGTTCCATATTTTTTATGTTGATTTCAGTGTGAAAATCTATTTTAAATTGTCAAAGGATTCACCTTGATTTGGTTGAATAAGTCTTTTTTGTTGGAAAAAGCAACATAGGTCAACATGAAAAAGGTTGATAAGACCTAGTCCATACAGGTCGGTTCAAGGGATCGTGCCATGATTGAAAAATATTTTTGAGTAGTAGCATCGTCCGCAAAAATCAATCAACAAAACATAATGATTGTCTAGGGTATAGATCAACGATTTATGTATATAGTTGAGAAATCATAATCAAACTTTTCAGCCAATCAAATTTCTTCAAAAAGAGACAATGGTAAACAGAACTAGATCAAACATTGTAGTTTAAAATGACTAAATCGGCACGTTCTAGTCTAATGACCTATGTAAAGGGGTGAAGGTCCAAATTGAATAATCTCATTAATAAAAGGATTACAAATTTACAACAATCCAAATTTTCAGCAATATAATGAAGTTATAAGTTAATCGAAGTGCATCGTCATTTTTTTGTAATCGACCGTTTATATATAGAAAATTAAACACACACTAATCCTGATTAAAGAAAAAATAGACGTGACAGCAAAAGCGGTCAACTTCAATAACAACCGGTTCACACACTGTTATGCACTTATCATAAAGTCTCAGCGCCGGTCCACCACCGTCAATCAATCATCATAAATTGTATGATGACCGGTTCTGTCTCACTAGACGTCCACGTAAATGCAAAATTATCCAAATAACTTATAAGCGAATTTTAAGTGCATTAATTGAGCCAGGCAGGCAGCTTGCGAAAGCCGGCTGAAGCTGAAGGGGCTCGATACTTTATGGGCGGTGGCAGAGAAAGTTCCAGTTGGGGTAAGTGGACCCTATGGTGGAAAAGATGGTGTTTTTGTTTCTTATGAGATGACTTCGTCCTTCTTTAAGCATTTTTCCAACATCTCTTTATCCACCTAAGGCATGTTGTAATTTTTTTTAGAAAAAATTTCGTGACGAATAAAAATTTAAAAAAATTTGGGGTTAAACGTGTTCAACTATGTGTGTATCTATGTATTTTTAGGTGTGGCCATTTTAATTGGAAGCAAACCTCACGAACTCGAATAAACTGTAATCGGAGGTTCCAATTCTCTTCAAAAAAAATTAGGAATTGGAACCATAGGTACCCAACTCAAAAATCGAATTTGTCACTTTTATAATTTTTTTTTTCACAATCTATTCCCTAATCGAACAACCTATTGGGATGCAAAGGAAATGATGCGTAGAGATCCATATTTTTCTATCAATAGATAGGTCTATTCATAAATAGATATTGATATGGTTTCAAGATCCATGAACAAAAGAGATTCCATCTGGCTTCTAATTGAAGCACCTTAAGAAGACGTGCTAGTTCTTTATTGATTACATTAGACTTATGTGATAGGGATAAGGGAAGAGAGAAAAAATGAAGATTTCATATGGTACTTTTGATCGAAAAATAATTGAGACTGATTTTGTACCCTTCACTTAATGAGAGAGTCCATTCTATCTATTCCAGACATTATTTCACTATTTCAGTCGTCATTTTTGAATTCTTCTCTCACATATAAGACTTACTTTATTTCTAACGGTAAAAAAATCTATTAACAAAATTCCTACCAAACAAGCACTAAATTTTATGATATCAATGAAATGGTAAACAGAATTGTTGATTTGCAAGTTAAAGTGACAAACGAGAATAAATATTAAAAATAGTAACAAATTTTGAAATAATGGATGCCCTAATTAATGCCTTGCAAATTAGAAACATTTTCAAGAGGCTTTCTATTTTACAAAAAGTGCATTTTGTAATTTAGAAAGTATCTATAATTTAGAGATTAAAAAATTTTAAGTATTCCAACAGCTTTTTGTCTTTAACAATTAATTCATTACTTTCATGAAATGTTTACAGTTTTCCCTACTTTTTAATTTCACTAGCTTCCTTCCGAATTATTATATTATTCTCTTAATTGAAAATTGAAATACTTTGAATGGATTTAATTGTTGAGTTGAAGAATCAAACTCACTCTATTTTAAAATGTTAAATAGAAAGTTTCTTGGAACAAAATTGAAGGATTGACTCCTTAAAATAGATAACACCTTATGTTTAAAGAGACTCTTAAAAAAACTCTAATAAAAAATTTAATTTTTAATTTCAAACATAAAATACCTCGTATTTTTAAAAAGATTTTAACGATTTTATCATATTTTATTCCACAAATTCTTCATGGAAATTACTTTATAGGCAATTACTTGTAAAAAATAAACTTCACGTGGGTATTTGAATTGTTCATCATTATAATTAAAAGCTCTCTCGATCTCCACGTTCAATCATCCCTTGTCATTGCAACAAAATGAATTATAATTACTTTCTCTCTCTCTACACACACACCCTCACTCACCTAAGCATTGATTCAATGGTGATAATCCCTCGGTCCCAATTATATAAGTTTACTTCGTTTTTCACACGAATCAAGAAATTTTCTTTAATATCATTAAAAAATTAACTTTTGCCAAGATCTTTTCTAATTTACCCATATTTAGTTTTCAGTATGTAATAGTAAATTATTATTAGAATTAGTAAAGAATTTTAATTATTTAATTTGAAGAAAAAGAAATGAGAGTTGTTTCATGTTTTCAAGAAGTGAGAAATGTGTGTATTTTGATGATTTTAAGAAGTTAGCGTATTCAGTGAGGAAAATTGAATAAATGTATATTGGTAAAAGAACAAAAAAATATTCTAAATTAGGAATCGAGTCTATATATTTGGAATAAGAGAAAAATGAAATTCTGCATATATAATTGGGGCGAAAGGAGTATAAAATTTGGTACAGATTGACATTTTCAAAATTAATTTTACATTCCATTTGATATAAATCCAAATTTTACTCTAATGAAAAGATCTAAAACATTGAGTGCAAATGGGTTGGTAGCACTTTGCCTCTCGTGATCCCAAAGGTAGATTTTACATTTTCTGTCGAAAAATATATTTTATAATTTCTTTGCATCTCTCCGTTAAAAATATTTTTGATCACTTTGAAGATGTAAATTACAATTTAAGGACTTGTTTGAGTCCAACTAAATTGGAAAAATGCATTTTGTAGTAGTCGATTAATGGAGAATGTATGGTTAAAAAATAAGAATTTTTTTAAATTTATATGTAATATTATTTTATTGAAAAATGTATGATTGAAAAAAAAATGTATTTCAAAAAATAAAAACAAAAAACAAAAGAAAAAAGGAATGAAACAAGCCCTAAATATATGAGGACCATTAGAAATGCTCTTGATATCATCAGCTGGTATGCTATTGTATAAGCTCATCATTCAGACATGGCATTTCGGGACCACCAACTCTCTCAAGAAATGGCCCTCCCTCACCACTTTACCGACCACCATCACCACCAGACCTCCTCCGTCTACCACCACGACCACCCCCACCCCCAACACTCCTCCCCGGACAGCCATACTAAACCACCCCCTACTTGGCTCAACAGCTCCATCCTCCAATCCCACCCTCACCAGTGGCTCCCCACTCAAAGTCAACCCAGCCCACCAACCACCGCCGACACTGCTGAAACCAACACCACCACAAATGTCGGCGGCGGAGGAGATAATAATAACAATAACTGGGAGAAAGAGAAGTGCATGGCGGATATTTTGAATCATCCTCTCTATGAACAACTACTGTCGGCGCATGTGTCTTGCCTGAGAATTGCGACGCCGGTGGACCAGCTGCCGAGAATTGACGCTCAGCTGGCTCAGTCGCAGCAAGTGATGGCTAAATACTCTCTGATTGGACAAGGTCAACAGCCCCTCGATGATAAGGATCTCGATCAGTTCATGGTACTGCACACTTTTCTTACATCTGTATACGTATAACACATGTATATATGTTATTATGAAGCTTAAACTTTTTCGTGCTGGGTTTATGTTGGGTTTGAATTCTTGAGATAATATTGTCACAAACTTTATATTTTCAAATTTATTTTTGACTTTTTCTCTTTTGATTTGAAATTCGGCCACTTTCTTTTCGTTCAAGTGTCAATCTTGGGTCTTGGATTTATTTTTATTCCATCATCGGAACTGGTTAGAGTTGTAAAAGTAATTAGTATGCTTGTGCCTTTCACTCTCTGTGGGTGTGAGAGAGATGTACAAAGTATAGTTGTTGGCCCCAGTAGATTATTCCTCTCTTGGAATTTTTAGTTACGGTGGAATAACTAGTTTAAAGTAACTAGCATCAGATTTTGAATATCCACTGATTTCGTTGGCTACTGATTGTCATTCTTGGTGGGGCATATGCTGAAACAGACACGACTTTCTCTGCCGTGGAGTAACGGGAAGGATAAGGGAGATACAATTTTTCGAAGTGAAAGATGACTAATTGTGCGAAAATTTAAAACCATGATAGTATAATGTCTATTCTTGGCCTGTGTTTGAAAGATTTTGTGTGGATTTTGATTCCTGAAGTAAAAGTTTCGAAGTTCAAATCGGTAATTCGAGTTGGAATATATTGTGATCATTTCAAAAGAGGAATCTGGTGTTTCTCATAATGATAGTAATTCAATCTCTAGTTTGGTGTTTTGAAGAATCTGTTCTTGATGCAATCCTACTCCATTCCTGACTTTTTTCTGGTGCTTTTGGAAGTTAGTTTGACCTCAAAATGGACAAACTCGAAATATCTGCAAGGCTTAATTTAATGCTAGGAAGGCTCTTTGTCCTGTAGGATAATTTGAGCTGTAGATTTAGAGTC